AATTATATGCATGGTAAACAATAAGTTATTTCTATTTATTACTATAAATGCACCCCTGGGGACCAGGGCAATTTTACATGTGGATAGGACTGGGGCTTAGGGTGCATTTAAAGAGGGTTGCACTTATAAAGGGGTGCACTTATAGAGAGTTCAATGTGTTCCATTTATTTATTTATTTTCATGTATTCTTTTTTAGAACTTCATATGATCACTGGAGAATTGACACTTCTCAAAAAGACATTAGCGCCCATAAAAGGTCTAGTGACAATTTTAAGAAAGCATAGTGATGAAAAATCACTTATCACGCCGTTGGCTAAAGTTTATTTTTCAGACGTTTCGGTATGTTATAATAAAAAAAATAATAATCCCACCCCTTTAATATATTTTATGGTTCACGAATGTGACAAAAATTTTAAGAAATTTCAATGATTAAAATTAAGCAATTAAGCCATACTCAAATTTAATATATTTATATTTATTTATTTAGGATCATTGTGCAGATATTGTAGATAATTTGGAGACAATGATTAAAATGGGAGAAAATTTGGTTAACATGGTATTTTACATTTTTTTATATATATTATATTGTTATATTTATTGTTTTTTTTTATATTGTTTTAAAATTATTTATTTTTTTTTTAGATTTTCAACTTAATTGCGTATGAGGTATAAATTATAACAATAAAGAATTATTATTTTAATTATTTTTAATACTTACCCTTTTATTACTATTTTAGACGAATGAAAATATGAAATTATTAGCTTTATTATCTCTAATTTTCTTGCCAATGACATTTATTGCTGGATGTAAATATTTTACATTTAATATTTTACATTATAATTCATCAAATTTATTAACTAATTTCATAAATAATTCTTGATTTTAGACTATGGAATGAACTTCGAGGTCTTTCCAGATCTTTTTAAACCTATAAGGTATATTTATATATTTATTTCATCATTTTCCACTTTCTATTCAATTATATACTAACATTTTCAAATTCTTTTTATATATAAAGTTATTTCTGGTGGGCAACAGGTCTTAGTACAAGTCTGATAGTGGTAGGATTTACTTACCGTTATTGGTCAAATTGGATTTTAAGATTTTGGAAATATTTACAAAATAAAAAATTACAAAAGAAATTAAGAAATTCACATAATTGATATACCAAAATAATTATTATTTACCTTTTTCTTTATTTTATAAAAATTAATATAGTTAAAATAATTATCTTATTTATTTTTATTTTTTTTTATAAAAATAAAATTTAATTAATTTATTTTGTGGTAATGATTTGATTAAGATAATACCACATGGGTTTAGGGTTAGGGTTTGATCTTGGAATTATGTAATTTATGTAATTTTGCCTAGTGTGACAATTATAATAATTAGTTAATTGAACCATTAAAAAAAAATATTGATTAAAAATATTTAAGAGGAGTTCCCTCGTTTTTCATTGTCTCCTTTATTTCGTCATTTTCATTATTTTCAAGCAAATTATTGATAATCTCAGGAACTAGAATACAAGGACCAAATTTGGAGTATACAAATATTCTTCTAAGTCATATGATCATTATACAAGTTCCACAATCCTTCTCTTATCGCCCATAATAATAACAACAACAATAATAATAATAATAAGAATAAGAATAAGAAGAATAATAATAAAGGGATGTTCAATGGCGAACAATATTCGAATACTAAATAACTCGCCCCACGAAATTTATTAATTGGACATTTAATTGTGAAACTTAATTTGTGAAACTCTAATTGTGTAACCTTAACATGTCATTAATCCTGTAATTAACAATTATATCATTGACATTTGATTGTGAATTGTACAGTAATGATTTCGTAATTGTTTTTTTTGGCGGGAA